CTTATCACTCAAAGACTGCTGGTTTGAGATAATATTGGAATGACCTGTTGTAGTCACAATTACAGCACCAGTTAGGAGATAATACCTTGTGAGGTTGGGATGCTATCCTATTGAATGTAGTGTATGCTTTAAATTGGGACCAGTATATAGTACTACCTGCCCCTAGACAGGATGCATAGGTCTGGGGACCAAGGGATGGAGATGGGGTGATCCCTCTCATTATTATTCCTGATAATCTTCTTGAAGAATTTTGCTTTCTGTCCCTACAACCTTGAACTTAGTATGTTTGGAGGTCATAATGCCTAAGGGAGAAATGTTTCCACTAGGGAGCAGTTATGGTTCTGATGACTTGGAAGCTGAGCCTGACTTCTAGCCATTTTGAGTTCTTTGTGCCAACAAAGCAACAGACAGAGAAGGAGACCTCTGAACTGGGTGGGGTGATTATCCTAACTAATGAGGGGGAATTGAGTTCCTGCTACACAATGAGAGTAAGGAGGACTGTGTTTGGAACCTGGGGATTCATTGGGGGTGCCTTTTCATACTCCCTTGCCTGAAAGTACTGATCAATGAAAAACTGGAGCAACACATCAAGAATTCCAATTTTGTGGGAATTTCGGTCACCCCACCACTTGCAGAATCTCATCAAGCTGAGGTGCTGGCTGAGAGTAATGGGACATGGAATGTTTGGTAAAAGATGACAGCATGACATAGTAGAAGGTGCATGTTTGGAGACTACCATTTACTAGTAGTAGTGGCACTGTAGTAAGCCTTACTGTGTAAGACGGTCATAATATTTTAGAGTGATCAACCATCCCAGATTCCCAGGACTGAGGGGTTTCTTGGGACATGGGAATTTCAGTGCTAAAACCAGGAAAGTCCTGGTGAAGCCAAGACAAGTCATCCTATTTATGCTCCTCACTTTTTTCATCAATGCTATGAAAGTAAACAATGCTTGTCTTACATACCCCACAGGTGCATGTGAAAATAATGAGTGGTTACTTTGAAATCTGATAGACGTAGGTAGTTAAGTCCAGCTCTGCCACTTACTTGTGGGATGACCTTGGGCAGACTATGTAGCTTCTCCCAAGGCGTCACCTCCTTCTGCAAGCCCACAGGTATTTCTGTCCACCATGACCCACCTTACTTATTAGCATGGAAGACTCTGTATGGCCTGTTGCCTCTTCCTGTGTCACTCTTTCTTTGATACCAAACATTTCTGCCTGACTTGTCCACTGTGCCAAGGGGCTTGCCTGACTTGAGGGTCCTGGTGCCTATTGGCCATCCCTCCAAGTCTTAACCTCCGTGCCCCATGCAGGCCCAAGGGCTAGAGGCCTGCTCTTATGACAGATGCAAGACTGTGCTTTTCTCCACTTCCGTGGAGCCTGCCTGGCCCAATATATAGAGGGATGGCATGTTGATGTGGTGGCCTGAGGCCATCCATCTACCCCCCTGGGACACTTACAGGCCTCTCGAACATTTCAGACTCTGATGGCACAAGTCTGATGGTAAGGGATTTCACCACAAACCATCATTGTGAGGTGAAAGGAACATTCCCAGGGTCTGCTAGGTACAGGGCACTATGGTGGTTGCCTTGCAAAATGCTTCATTTAACCTTTGCAAATTCAAACTGTATATTGGAATTGGAGAAACTGAGGCTCAGGGAGGTTAAAGTGACTTGTTTAAAATCCCACAAAAGCCAGCTGGGTAGCGCAAGTGGTTAAGCGCGTGTGCTCTGCTGTGGCGGCGCGGGGTTTGCAGATTCTGGTCCGGGCATGCACCGACGCACCACTTGTCAAGCCATGCTGTGGCGGCGTCCCATTTAAAGTAGAGGAAGATGGGCATGGATGTTAGCCCAGGGCCAGTCTTCCTCAGCAAGAAAAAAGAGGAGAATTGGCAGCTGTTAGCTCAGGGCCGATCATCCTTACAAAAAAATAAAAAATAAAAAATAAAATCCCACAAAAGGTAAAAATGGTAGAACTGGGATTCAAACCCCACAGAATACTGGAGGTTAGCACCAACACGTGAAAGGCCAAAATGCTGAACTGAAGTCCATTCAGCTGCCCCTAGAGGAAGCTCCTTCCTCAGTGAGGATGGAGACAAAGGGGAGGAGAGGAGACCGAAGGAGGATGAGAGGACCAGTGGCTGGCTGACTTCTGCCTTCCCTCCCGGGCCCTGGCTGCCTCTGAGGGGCTTTCTCACTGGCTAGATCAGGCTCCTGGGAGTTTCATTCTTTGCTCTAGTGTTGTCAGGGGAGGCCATGACATTCTGGAAAAAGCTTAGATTTGGAATCAGAAGACTTGTGTTTGTGTCCAGTGTCTTACTATCTGTGTACTCCTGAGCTATTGTCTAACCTCTCGGAACTTCATTGATCAAATGAGAATAAGATCTGCCTCTGTGGTTCTTGTCCGACTCATACCCGTGTATATGAAAGGTTTTTGTAAACCATAAAACTCCACGTAGACATGGATCAGATTGCTCTTGGCCAATGATATTAAAAATATCTATCTTTAGTCACAGAAGGGTTGTGGCAGAGGCAGACATTCATTAAAGATTCATCCTTTTGTGGGATAGAGTGGTCACTGGAAAGTGGCTGCCCAGCCAGGACTATATTTCCCAGTCTCCTTTGCATTTGGTTGGGTTAAAGCGACTACCTTTTACTAATGGAATATGAGCAGAAGTGATGGGTATCACTTCAAAGTAGGCAGTTAGAAGTGTGTGTGCCTTCTCTAATTTTCTTCCCATCTGCTGCTGGATGAAGAGGACGCCAAGGCCTCAGAGAGTGGCAAAATCACAAAATGGAAGTGAACTGAGTTCCTGAATCACCATGTGGAAGAAAGCCATCTACTGACCAGGAATATCCTCACTGGATTATTATATGAGTGAGAAATAAGCTTTCATTTTGCTAAGCCACTGAAATATTGGGGTTTATTTATTACAGCAGCTAACATTACTCTAAGTAATAAATGAGTCAGGGGGTGGAATGTTGTTGCTCAGCCAGTAAAAAGTGCTGACAATGAACATGTGCACAGTGGCTGGCAATGTCTTTTTCACGCTGACTAATACACAGGCCATAGGGCCAAGGAATTGCAGAAGGGCATCTGCAATGCTGTCAGATAAGGGTGACAGGCAGTTTGATTACACACACACACACACACACACACGTCACTTTTGTATACATATTCTAGAATCCCAGTGTTAGGGCTGGAAGTAATGGGCTTCAGAGGCCGTCTATTAAAACCTTATTTGTAGTTCAGGAAACTGACCCAGAGAGGAGATGGACTGGCTCAAGGCCACAGAGCTAGTCAGTGGCATCTAGACTAGAACCCGGGTCTTCAGATTCCCAGGCTCCTCTTCTCAGTCCTCTTCCCCATTCTCTGTAGTTCTCCCTAGCTTCTCTCTTGACAAAGCCCAATATCTGGATAACCCAGAAATGACTCAAAAAGGGGAGAGATGGGTATAAATGGATTTCATGATTTTGCCTCTACCATTTAATTGGCTAAAGGGCACTTTTCATTTTCAATTTAGTGGCTGGCAAAAAATTGAAGGAGCTTTTTAGCCAAACCCTTCTCCCTGTCTGCTTTTTTGAGTTGTTCTGTGTCCTTTTGAACTCTATACTCTAGCCGTGCCAACCCTTGTTATTCCATGACTACGTCATAGCCCGTTTCACTGCTGTGTGTTCGAGCGTGCTGTTTCTTTGTGTCCGTCCTTCAATGCCAAGCCCTGTTATTTATTTTTTATTCTTTACTTATTTTTTCTTCCTTCAGAATCCTACCTAAGTGTTGCATTCTCTGTGAAGTCTTTCCCAATTCTTCTAGGCTGAGTTAGTGTTTCTTTCCATTGCGTTCCCATGGTGGTCTGTTTATGCCACTCTCAGAGCACTCATGGCATAGAACTGTAATTTTTATTTGAACCTTGGTGGTTCATATGCTTCATAAGCTTCTTCCCATCATTTAGCTTTTGGAAAGGGCAACAGTCCATACAATGTGGTCACCATTCTCCCCTTACCCGAGTTGTTTTCACCAGAAGGGGACACCTGACACAAAGTAACCAATTCACAGGCACCCCAAACCCCATGACACAGCCTTCTACAAAGGATTCTGCCTTTTGGGAATAGCCCACTGGGGATGGGGAATTGGCCACATTCTCTCCGTTGAGAATTTGCACTCAGAGAAAAAAGAGGGACATCCCAGATAGATAGTTGTGGGAACGGAGCTGTGAGGTCATGATATAGTGCCACGGCTGGTGGCTGTGCTGGGCTGTGTGCAAGATAAGCAAAGCAGAGGAAGCACCTTGGGAGGGTGAGGAAGCGGATAGGCCAGACAGGGAGAAGGACTGGGGTGACCATGTGGTTTTGCGGAGGTGGAGAGTAGTCTCAGTTCCTGAGGGTTTTCAGGCTCCTCTGGCCTCCTGCCTTGGGTTCCATGAGAGCCCCCCACCAGGCCTTTGCAGTATGGCCCCCCTCCACTTCTTGAACTAGTTTAATGGGTTTCTGTTTCTTATAACCAAAGGAGCCTTGGCTAAAAGAAGTTTTGCCTCCCCCTCTGGACTGTGAGTTTCCTGAGGTCAGGAACTATATCTTACTCTTCCTTGTATCACCAGAATTTAGCTCAATGTATAGAAGGTGTTCAAAATACATTTGTTGAATGAATGATGAGTAAATGAATGAATGAATATGCCTATTGGTAATAAATGCAGGGCACTGTTTGCCTGGCTGGAATCCTGTGCCTTTCTAATACAAAAAGCTCCTTTGCTTTAATCATCACAGCTCGACTGCTTACATCCTCCAGCGTCTTAAAGTGGAGATTTTGACAGGTGGCATTTTCCTGAAGTATTTTGGCTTTAAAAAATACTGGGTCTGGCACATTGGCATCTGAGGAGATGACAGATGTAAATAGGAGATACAAATAGGAGACGACACCTTCACCTCAACCACATCTGCTCCAGAAGAAACCCAGGTGGCCCCTGGACCTTTTCTTGAAGAAACATGGGGAGAAACAAGCTTTATTTAGAGAGATATAAGTATAGCTTTTATTTTTTTTTAAACCAACCCAACATTTCCACTGGCAACTGTCAACACAGCTTATGACATGAGCACTGTTTCTTTTTTAGTATTTTTTTTCTTAAAAAACGTGTTTAAAATTAAACAGGTGTTTTTTAATTTCTTTTTTCCCCCTTAAAAAATGTATTTATGTCAATGCAGAAAGCCTAAAGATCTGTGGGCAGTTTCGTGGTGATTTCGTATGTGTGTTTATTTGTGTGCGTGTGTGTGTTTTAAAGTCAGGTCCTTTCAAAAGTTGTTGAGAAAATGCGTCTAGGGCATGGCAATCTCTTTTTCTATAAACCTACGCTCCATGGGATTATGGCAATGAAGATTCCTCTTGCCTGGGGCAAGAAATAGCCCACAGTCAGGAGAAAGAGCTTCATAAGATCTAAAAACAAGCAGGAATGTGGAAGAGATGAGGAATTCCAGTTCCTATCTTGTGAAAAAGCTTTCAAAGTGACCTGAGGGCTCAGGAGAGGTGGAAGGAGCCCCTTGTTTTCTTATAAACCTCTAAGTTTTTGCATTACCTCAAGAAATAGAGTCAGACCCCTTAGTCTGATGCCTTAGAAAGTGAGGGGGTGGTGAAGCCGACATTTCTCAGAAGCACTGACATTTTAAATATAATCTTTCCCCTTAAAGATCTCACTAGGTGGGCATCTCTTCTCTCCTGCCTCAGATACAAAGCCAAAGACACTCAAGAAGGCATATCTCTCTTTTGTTTCCCCAGCTGTCTTTTGTCATCACATACCATTCTTATTTTTGTCCCATAGCTCCTGCTTGGTGGGTCTTCCTGCTGAAGGATAAACATATAGACACTGACACATGAGACAGACAGAACTTGAAAGTCTTGGGCAGGGAAGAGAACAATGACTTTTTGTGTAAATTTGATTTCGACATAAGCATATAAAGCTCCTCCCACTCTAGCCACAACCCCTCGCTCTTTAGTGCCCTGCGTGGGTGTGCAAACTTACTTCCACCCAAATGCCATCAGCCCTCTCAAGAATTCAGAGAAAAAATGGAAATGAGGGACAAGACCTCAATGGAACCAAGAGACAGCTGTTACTCAATGAGAGTCAGCAGGTGTGTGTCTGAAAATTTATGCCTCTACCCATCAGCTCAGACCTTGAGTTCCTTCCCAGCACCTTTGTCACTAACTTCAGAAAGAAAAGACAAAACAAACAAAAAAACAATGAGCAAAACCTGATGGAGAAATGAAAGCAACCGCAATAATGACTACAAGGAAAAGAGAACCCCAAACCGGCCACATGGCTATGACTCATTTTCACGCTTCGCCAACTGAGAGAACGGTGATGTATTGAATTGGACAGACAGGAGAAACCCTGCCCCCAAAGAAAGTAGAAGCAAAGGAATAATCAGAAGAAGGTGGAATAGCAGATGGTGAAAGGGTCTGACCTTTGCTATGGGTCAGGGACATGGGTGGGAAGATGGGGTGGAGGTGGGTTTGTTGCTGTTGTTGGTTTGTATTGAATTAAATACTTTGTAAAGTGGGTGTTTCCTCCATTCTGATGGATTGATTAAGACTCTGCCCTTTCAGTTCACTGCCAGGGCCTAGGTCGGGTGAAGATCCTGGGGCTCGGGTCCTGATGCTGCCTCTCCAGGGCTGCTCATCCCGGAGAGGTCACTGGTGGGGAGGTGCCCTTCTCTTAGGAGAAGTCCTAGGCCTGCTCTGCTGGAGGCCTCGTCCTGTGGCTCAGAACCCCTTGATGTAGCAGTAGGCCTCCAGCGTGGCAAAGAGTATGTAGAGGAGCCACAGGCTCACAAAGAGCCAAGTCGTGGCAAGCTTGCAGCCACGAGGGCCACCAAGCTCCCCACCCAGGTGCGGCCGCCGGCGGTACAGGAGCACACTGATGCAGACAAACGCAAAGATGGTGAAGAGGGTGACTGAGAAGGCCAGCGTGCCGGCTGACACGTGGAACTCCTGTCCCTGCAGGGCCCAGTAGATGGCGGCCACGGACCAGGCCAGGCCAATGCCCAGGAAGACATTGACGGCGTTGCTCCCTGTGACGTTGCCAATGGAGGCGTCTGCGTACACGTCCTGGATGGCTGCAGCTTTGCTGGCAAACGTATCTGGAAAAGGGCAGAGACAAATGGGAGCTGGCGGGAGGCTGAGGTGTGGAGGGCCCACCTTTGAGTATGTCCAAAAGGCAGCTGGGGCCAGCTGGCTGAGCCCAGGAATGAGAGACAGGGGTTTGGAGGCCACCCCTAGCTCTGCCATTGACAAGCTGTGTGGCCTTGGACAAGTCACCTCACTTCTCTGGGGTTCCCATTCCTCATCTGCTGGATTCCTTCGGGTCTTTCTGGTCCTGGTCTTTACTGAGTGGGTTCATTGTTCCCTTTGACTACTTTTTCAGTAAGGGGAGTTTGCTATCCCATAATATCTTCCCAGGGAACCTTGACATCCTGGGAAGCTGCTTACAGTAGATGCCTGATTGTAACTGTCACAGGAGGCACTTACTCACTTAACATAGTTATTGCACGATGCCTGCAGGCTCAGCACTGTGCTAGGGGCTGGATTTAGGGAGACAGAGGAAACGCTGGCGAACCATGACGAGGATGTGCAGGGTGAGCTTCGGACTCCAGCAGCACGGAGCTCTGCCTCTGCAGTTAGTATGTGGAGCACAGGGCCTGGCAGGCTGTTTGACTTTAGCTGTTGGCACGGATTGTAGGCACTGAAAGGACTGTCGGGGACAACTAGCCCAACGTTTTATTTCACAGGTAACGAAAATAAGGGTCAAGGAATCTGCCCAAGGTCATGCGGGAAGTTAGGGAGATTTGACCCTACAACTCTCATATAAGGTCCTTTCCATACCATCGCCCTCCATCCAAAGAGCTTCAGCCAAATCAGCTGAGTGGACCATAGCATAACCTTCTTCAAGACCCTAATGCTGCCAGCTGTTCCCTGGACCAATCGCAAGGACTTGGAAGTGCCCCAAGCTCTCTCCCTGTCTGGCTCATCCTGGCTTGCCTCCTTGTTGCCAATTTGCTCAGATCTCCCAGAGAAAACGTCTTGCCTATGACCTTGCTTTATTTTGCTTCCGATCCTCTGCAATTTCTTCCCACATCTGTTCCTTTTCGCCACATCACATCTGCTCCTTCCCCTCTGGTAGTTCCAGGCCCTTGAGGCCTGGAGAACAGAGATCACAGGGCATCTCCTCTAACCAGATCATCCCTGGATCATCTAATTTCCTACCACCTGATCATTTCCATGATCCAAACCTCTTGCATCACCAATGGATAAATAATCTCACTGGTCTGTGCCAGGGTTTTGGGAAGAGGTTTTCCAAGAGTGTGATGTAGATTCAGTTACTCTCCAGCAGGATATGTTTTCTTGGTCCAGCCAGCAGAGTCCTGTCTGATGAGATTCAGCCTAACCCTCTTGTAGGAGGATGCTGTCTCTTTCTTCCTACAGCAATGGGGAGGCCAGCTCCTCAGTTGGAGTTCAGGGCTCGGACACCCTGGAAACCCCAATGAACTAAGTAAGGAACCTGAGCTAATGCAGCCCCTTTCTGCCTGCTAACTTCTACTTGTCATTTTGGCCCTGCTTACATTTATCCTCCCTGGGAAGCCATCCATGACCCAGCCCAGGTCCCTGTTTTATACTTGCATGGCACCTGTACTTTTTCTTCATAAAACTTATAGAGATGATTTTAATTATAGTGGTTGAGTGTAGTCTCCATCACTAGATTATAAACTCCATGTGGAGAGGGAAGCATGTCTGTCTTGCCTCCCACTTTAGCCCCAGCAATTAGCATAAGACTGTATCAGGCTCAGTAAATACTTGTCTAATGAATGAATAAGTGCATGCCTGTTCCTGTTCGTGTCTGGGTGTTTATCAGGAAAAAAAAGAATATGTAATTCATCATATGAAAGGACAAGAACTCGCTAAGCTTCCTTCGCCTGTCCCGCCAGGAGACACTTTGTACTCACAGGTGTCCTTCTAAGCAGAGGCAGCCAAGAATGCGTGGGGGCATTTCTATTGTGACTTCTTCAAGCAGGCTAACCTTCAGCCTCTCAGAGACTGCCAGAGGGAAATGGAAGGAGAACAATATCTATATTCTTTGAATTACCGTGTTTGTGGCCTATTCACATAACATGGAGGATAAGAAATTGGGCCACTTACTTGGGAAGGTAACTTAACCTCTGTGGGCCTCAGTTTCCTCTTCTGTCAAGTGGGGATAAATAACTGTCCCTATTGAATAAGATTTTGGTGAGCAATTATAGGGTTAAAAGATGTAAATTGCTTAGCATACATGGGGCCTGACAAATCAAAAGTGCTCAAGAAATGTTGGCTATCATTATTAATACTATCATTACTCTCTCTGACTTTTGTGCACCTTAGGAGCAGGGGATCTGTTAAGCTCAGATCTGAGATGGCAAGGAAGACTATGAGGCAAAGTTGTAGGGGTCACTTGAACCTGGTAATATCCTCTTTGCAAACCCAAGCACCCTTCACTCTCACCTGGCACAGAGGTGCCAAATGCCACGAAAACAACAGCTGTAACTGAGTCCTTGAGGCCAATGGTGCATCCAAAGTGGGAGGCCAGGTCCCCAATTATGGCTGTGAGCATGCCGATGATGAGAATGGAGACGACGAAGCAGGCCCAGCCATGGCAGTACTCTGTGGGGGGCACGCAGGCAAACAGCACCTTCCAGAAGACCGTCAGGAAGTGCATGACGTAGTCAAAGCAGGATGGCAGCCTCTCCTCGCCTGACTCATCCTCATCCTCATCCCCTGCTGGAGGCAAGAGAAACACGCCTGGGAAAGGGCAGCAAGGTCAGATCCCCATTCATGAGGAAGTCAAGTCCAAACCACATCATGAACCTCATCAGCTGGAAGGAGGTTCCAGATCCCTCCTGGGCAGCTGGTGTGGGCCAGGGCATGGGCACCAGAAAACAGTTGGGAAATGGGAACCGAGTTGGGGTGCCCCATCGGTCAATTTGAATGCAGGGTTCCCAGGGAGAGTGGGAGAGAGAGGACAGGGGAATACAGAAGAGAAGAAAGAGGTTAAGAGATAGAGTGGGAGAAGACAAGAGGGACAGGCAGTGGAGGAGAAAGAGAGGAGGGTGGATTTGGTTGCCTAGGTGAAGAAAAGCGAAATCAGCGTGTGCCCACTCCTCACTGGATGCCAATGGGGCTCCTCTCTAATTCTGCAATAACTTCGTGGTTCTGGTCATTATCTGTCTCAGAGGGACGGCTGTCATTCCAGATCATGCAGACACACCACACAGCCAGTGCCATACTCCAAATATCCCATGGGACAGAGCAGGGATGGGCCTCGTTTGTCCTTGCCAGGAAAGGTGGGCAGAGTTGCCTGTTCAGCAGTCCAGGAGGAGAGGATGTGCTGAGGCATGCTGGCGCCTTGTCAAAGGCAACCTCTGTAATGTTTTCATACAACCCGTGGAAGCTGTGTTTTGAAAGAGCAGGAGTCAGGACCCTTGGGTTCCACTGCAGCTTTGCCATGAAGAGAATCTGAACCTGGGGTAAATCACCTCCTGTTTCTGAACCTCAGTTTCCTCATTTGAAAAGAGGGGGTGGTGGTTAGATTATGTGGCCTACATTCCATTTATTTTCTCTTTGGGGGCAAAGTAAGGTCATCAGAGAGTGAACTGGGAGTATCTGAAGCAGGCGATGTGAAAAGTGGGGCAGCGGAGGTAGCAGCTCTCTCTTCCTGGCTGTACTTTAGCTGTGGCTCTGGGGCCCTGGGGATATGACCCCGTGGGTTGCTATGACAACAAAACCTCATGAAAAGAGACAAGGCCAGTAGTGCTTGGGCAGGCCATACAAGGAGGCCTCAGTGGTGCTGAGAGGCAAGATTGGTGATGGTGGTGAGAGCATTTCCCATCCCCATTCCAACACGTCTGCAGGTTTCTGGGACACTGGCTCTGCTGTGAGTCACCACTGAGGGAACCTGTCAGTAAATGGTGCAGGAGAGGTTTGGAATCATCTGGGGCAGAGGTTTGTCAGAGTCAATGCAACGATTTTACACAAACTCTAGACCCCCACATCTCTAAGTCAGAATAGTCCCTCATTTTACAGAAAAGGAGGACTAAGTTAATAAGAGGAAGGAATGACGGAAACCAGAATTTATTGAGTTCATGTTTGGTACCAGATTCTGTGCCTTTCTACTTACTTTGCTGAGAAAGGTAGCAATAGTTCTCTTTTGGGATGAGGAAATCAAGGCGCAGAGAGCATAACCTGTCCCAGTCCACACAGCGGAACCAGGATTTGAAACCAGAGATAGCCAGGCTTTTTCAGTTACCCTGTGATTCTTTTCCAAAGTGACCCAGTGAAACAGGCAAACATCTAGGACTAGAGCTGGGAAGACTGGACACAGAGGCCCTCCCAGAAATTGGCAGGCTGTTGATGTGGTTCTGTTTTTCCTTCTCCGGTGTTGTCTGCTTCTCCCAGCAAGGGCTGTGCCCATCTTGAGACCCTCTTACCTGCACTGACAGTGATGGCCTCCATGAACTGGTCCCTCCAGGAATGCGTTCCCACAACCAACGCCAGGTTTGTCTTCTTGATCAATTTGTCCACTGTACTCTGTCAGGGAGATAAAAACTTGGAATCATGAGGTTAGAATGCTCAGAACCATTGAGGAGTCTGGTGTTTCAAGAGAATGAAAGGTGCCCTGCATTTCAGTGGGCTCCATGTGGGTTCTAAAAGTTACGCATGGAATGGTCTTAGGTGATATCTTCTGGGACAATCCTTCTATTTCCCTTTTCTTTGGCTGTGACTACTGACATTGGATATTTAGGGTAATACAACAAAGAAAAATGGTAACGATGTCAATAAACCTTGCCCTGGAGGAGTAAATTTTAGTATCTTTGTTTTAAAAATACAGCTAAACAACAGTGATGATACATCCAGGGGCTTTATAGCCCATTTAGTCCATATAATATGTTATGTTCCTCACAATATTCCTAGGATACAAATGGCCAGAACTATTCATTCCATGTTACGAATGGGGAAACTGAGGCTGGGGTGGGTAAGTGATTCGTTCAGTTTCAACTTCACACATTCAGTGGTGAAATTGGAACAAAACTCCATGTCTTCTACCTCCCACCCCATCACTCTGTCATCCAATTAGATCTCACTTATGGCCTGACCTTGAACTCATAGGACTCTTCAATGATGACCTCTAGTTTGGGGTGTTCACCCAATACTGGCTTTCCCATTTCTGCTATTCTCTTGGCCTCCTCTTCCTCCACAGTCAGCTTCCTGTCTGTCATCTCTGCAACAAAACAAAATCAGACTAGTTTTAGCACATTCACCATTCCCTAGAAGTCTAAAGCTCAGAGTATTAGGCATGTGAGGTGGGCACATAGCTCTTGAGACTGCAGATTTTGTGTATTTTTTAGTGCCTCTTTCAACAAAGTGCTGAACATTTTATGACCATCAGACCACGAGAGGGTTTCTTGCAGGCCTGGTATAAGCATTCCTTTTTCCAATTTATACCTGGGTGAGCAACCTGACCCAAAGACCTTCTGAGAAATAGCATCAAGCGAAGTCCCCAAGTCATTTGGTGAGATACTAGAGAGTTGAGAACAAAAGCCAAATCTCTTGATCTTTAACCATTCTGAACTGTTGGGCCTGTTTGTTCAACTACTTCATGAAAGAGTTCTTGGGGGCCAGAAGCACATTTTAATCCAAAGGGAATGTCTACTGGTTCACATTAACATCTGTTTCTAACACTGTTTGGACTATCCTCTCTATAAAGGAGAAAGGAGGGATGTTTCCAGGAATATCTACATTTCATACAAGTGACTATTATCGTTACAATGAGAAACTTGGGAGATTTCCCCCCAAAATTCATGATTTTCCAATGAAAGTTCCCCAGGATTTCTACAGGAAATAGGCACATTTCTTCTGGAACACAAATACTTGTTCAAAAACAAAACAAAAGAAAGCTCTTCCTTTACTTTCTTTTGAGGCATTCCCTGTGTCTCTCAGCATCTTGCCTTATGTATCAGTAGTCTCTTCTCACGTTGAACAGTTAGAAATTTTTTCCAATTCAGCTGGTGAGTCCATTTTAAGACTACTTCACCATGAAGACATGTTTTCTGGATTAGAGTGAAATAGAGATTGAATCTTTTTATTCTCCTTTGATTAGAAAATTGCTCTCGGCAGCCTGTTTCTTTCAGAGCTCATTTAAACATCTTTCCTTCCAAGTCCACATTCTTACATGCAATTAATTCTTTTATTTGGATCCTTAATTGCTTTCATTCCACACAGTGAATCTCCTAGGGGAATCCTCTAGTCCTTGGATAATCTCAAGGACAAAATTGGCCAGAGGCCAAGAAGGTCTTCTTTTCTCTCTACCTTGGGAATTGGTGAAGCATGCGGAGGAGTGAGACTTGAGCTCTTGAGGTTGCAAGGAAAGGAATTCACTGGAAGGCTGTAAGCCAAAGGTGTAAGTTACCAAGAAGAGAACCTATTTTATAGAAGGATTTTCTTAGTTGGCCTGAATGAAGATGGTAAGAGAGTGTGCGGAGGATTCCTGAGCTGGCTGTTTTACTCAGTACTTCTGGCATTAAATACAGAAGACAATCCCAAAATGCTTGGGAGCTGTCCATGGTGCTGTCCTCCTGCTAGCGTTAGTGATCACTTTTGGAAACAATGATTTCTCAAGGATCAATGTCCTTCCGTATATTTCTACGTAAGCAGATACCCTCTAGCAGCCTGACTTCAATTTAATCCATTGATTCTGTCTCTTATTAACTAATTCTGAAGGTACATCTGGGTACATCCAGGGTTCTAGCTATGAAGTCAGCAATCCTAGAAGCCAGACTGCAAGCCACTCTGAGAAAAACTCTTTGGAAAAAGACATATAGATTCCTTAAAAGCATGGGTACATTTTTCCTCTACTTGCAAGTTTTGGCACCATCTCACAATGCCCATCCAACAGTGACAGTATTATTCCACTCTTGCCTCCCTAATTCCTCCATGTCATACCCTACATGTGCCACAAGAACTTTATACCAATATAATGACTCTCCAGTGACATATAAATGTACCTGTCTAACCCCTTTTCTAGCTATCAATCTAGCACTATATCCATCTAGAAGGATATTGATCTACCTACTGACCTGTTCACCCCTGTAGTGACAGTCAGTTTTTCCATCTAGCCTTCTGCAAAAATCTCTTTGACAAATAACCAATCTTCTACCTTTGGATCTCCCTCAGCCCCTGAGAGATACTCCATATATATATATATCTGTTAATTGATCAGTTCACTTGCCTTTAAATCAACTCTGACTTAGTGTCTTGGTTTGGTAGCTATTCCTGCCTTTTTCTATTTTTGTAATGATCATTCCTTTATATTCAAATTAAGTTAATTTCTTGAGAGAGTGATAAGTCTCAAACCTAAAAGACTATAATGATTTTGACCACTTATTTACGTAACTCCTCAGAATTTCAAGGGAAGAGAATAAATGACAGGTGATCTTGATATTCAGACTGACTAAACAAACTCTTAGATTCAGAAAAAGGAGGATAGAGGGGGAAGACAGAGAGAGAGAGAGAGTGAATATGAATAGGATGGAAGATTGAACAAATATTGGATGAACAAAGAGCTTGCGAGGCCAGACAGGAATAGATTGCTGTGAATACTCTACAGACATCCTCAGAAAGAAGTGGCGCCATGCAGCCGGTGCTCTCATTCCCAGGTCCCTGAGCTTGGTGGTGTAGCTTAGAATGAATATATTTTCTCTCCGTCTTTCACCACCAGGCATTGTTAATCATGTTTGCCTGCCCACCTAGGAAAATTCAAACAAGAATTTGAGATTGCCTGTGAATTTAAAATCTAACCAAGGGCTCTTAAATTAAACATTTACAAATTGAAATATCTAGGAAATGACACCTTCTTTTCCTCTTTTAGCTTCTATTGGTATTTGTGCAAATATGTTAAAAGTATAAAGAAGCTTAAATTAAATCACAATCTTTCTTGTGTGTTTATATGTGTGGTTGGTGGGGGTGGAGGCAAGAGTTGGAACAAAGAAGCCCAAATACCTTCTAAGGCAAGAGGATGAGTGAAGTGGAAAAGGAATGCCCAATGCTGTGACATCAATACCCGGAGAGAATAGTGGAAATATATGGGGTTGGGGGTAGTCCTTATCCTACTGGTATAAAGAGGAAGCAAGAGACCAAGGAAGCTGGAATAATTTTGTTTGCAGAAAGGGAAAATGTAGGGGTTTACCTACATTTTTTGTTTAAGGGTTCAAGGAGGCAAATATCCTTATTGTGTACACTGCCCCTTCTCAAACCCAGGGTGCAGCCTATAGGTGACTTTGAATACCAATGAATTCTATAAGATGCTTTGCTTCTTAAATGACATTAAGATTTTTATATGTTCAAAGAGCTGATGAAATGTAAAATGTTCTTTTAAAATATATTGAGATGTCTTATATAGCTTGCTCTGCCTGCACCAAGAATTATAGTATTGCTGGATCTGATGGAAATGTTTTCCTATCTGCTCACAAAGTTGGACATTGTTTATGATTGGATTCCACTGAGTCAAACACACTCTCAAAGTAGGTGTATGTTCTGTAACAGGATCTAGATTTTGCATGAGAATCTCTCCACAATAAATTCCCTAAAATTTCTATTTTCAGCCAGATAATAGCCCTCACCCTCTATAACATCCTAATTCTTCCTGTTGTTCATGGCACATGTGACTTCAAGGGTCAATGACAAATGAAACAAACTTCTAGCAATTTAGGTCTCAGCTGTGATGAGATGGAAGATCTCCAGGAGCAGTAAAATTCCAGATTCTTTAAAAATTGCTTTTCATGTTCTCGTAGCAGCTCCTGATTATTTTCCCCTGGATCCCTTGAGATCAAAGTAATTTCTTTCAAATCCCATCATGATCCTATTAGGAGATTCAGCTCTGACTCTCATCCGCTCTTGCCCCACAACATGAGATACAAATGAATTAAGATGCAGGAGAAGATGCACCATCACTTTGGTAAGCTTCAATTCTCTTCCTGGTCCCAGAGAAAAACAGCTATGCCCCTACCCACATCCACTGGCAGAAATGGTGCTCAAGGAATTGTCTACTTCCTTACGATTACTTCAATTACAATTGGGGAAATAAATCTCCCAGTCCTTGGGAGAACTTGTAAGGTTAACTCATGCCCATGATTCCTATTAATAAATCAAAAGACATTGGTCTTAAACTAAATAATGGCACTAGCAAGACACCTCTTACCTGGAGACAACAGGAGTGCTGTTTGCAAATGGATATCAGACAAGCGGAAGAAAGAAAAGGAAAGAGCATTAAGGTCCCATCTTGAAAGTGTTCCTGGGCTTTGTGGTTGCTGGTAGCATAAGGAAAGCAGTGAGCTTAGTAGGTGAGAGCTCTGCAGCCACATGCAAAAGGCAGCATTTGGAGCATGCACAGCAGCAGCAAGAGGTGTGAGCTGCTGGAGAGGCTGCTGAGCACCAGAGCCCTGCAGTTAAATGAGAGCTTTCCCCACACCTTCCCTGCAACTCTGAGGGCTAGGGATAGAGGAACAAGGATGGGGGAACCAAGTGGGTGGAGCAGAGACAGAGTCGGTTATTTGTCAACTTCTAAGGGATCAGGTTCTCACATCCATTCTATAAAGGAGTGAGAATCCAGTTACATTGAAAACTGTATGGGTTGCAACCCTGCCAAAGTAGCTGGCTTATCAGCGGACAATATGACCCTGGGGCTTGAATAAGAGCTGAGGGCACTGACTAATGGTGTACAAGAGTGGAGCAGTGCCCAGTTCTACGACCTTCATCCCTAACCTCATAATCAGATCATGCTCAGCTTCCTGGTGCCCACAACATTTCCATGGCCACAAATGGCTTCCTAGCTGCCATGTAGGCCAGAACTTTGAGTTTCCCTAAAAGAATGACCTAGTGAAATGGTAAGTCCTGCAGAATGTCTTCTTTGGAATGGTTTATCTTTTTATAGATACAGCCTGGAGGTCGGGACCATGGACTCCTACCATTTTGTATTACCTGTGCCTAGCAAAGTCATGGCAACTAGTAGGTGTTTGATAAAGGTTTGTTGTCCTGTTTTGGCAATTGTATTTTTCATAGATCCTGTGGTGCTGCATCTCTGGATGGTGGTCTTTTTGTTCCAGAAAGGAAAGGCTAAATCAGCGTCCAGATATTCTGGAGAGACTGTCATATTGAAAGCTATACACAGATGGAAGAGAAATACAAGGTCCTACGTGGACTGGGAAGCTGAGTTAAAGATGTACCCAGCACAAGTTGTCCCTAGCCCCCTAAATTTGTACTTGTGCTTAACTCTTTTAGACTTCAAGGTCCAAAAATTAAAAATTCTTGTGACACACAACATTTTCATCTTGATGGTGTCTTAGTATAGCCCCTCACTCCCTGGCTCTTGTCAAATAAAAGTCTGGGAACAACCTGTCACATACCCCTGGTGTAACAGGTGACTGAGGGAAGTTGTTGAGGAAAGAGCGTGTCTGGCGGAGTGTCTGTGAACTGTTTCTTCTCGATATCCCTAGGAATGCAACTCAGGCCTGTGATCCATCATTTCTCATTCACAGCCCCTGAAGACACATGTGAATCCAGAATCTTTATGGTATATATGCAGGGTGAACAGCAGTTGACTTTTTTTGGTTTCTCCCATGCGGAATTCCAAGGAGTAATGGATCAATGGATCTCTTCACTACACTGAGATAGAGAGATAGATAGATAGAGAGATAGCAAGGCAGCTTGTTCATTCTGCTCCTTCTATGGATCTGCGTGGAAAAGCCCCCATCCCTGGCCCCCAAGTTCCAGTGGAGACCAGAGACCGGAACACATCCGCATACCCAGCTAGGCCAGACAAAGGGCAGCTCTTCCAAAAAGGTCCCTGCTGCCCTGGTTTTCACTCAGACGTCCCTTCCAACACCAGAATCATCCCTAGTGCAGCGAGAGGGCTTGTAGTCAGCTGAAATCGCACCATTCTCTGGTCATTGTCTACATGGATCTGAGACTTTCCACTTAGCAGTTATAGATGGGTCAGTGAGATCCAGGTAGGCCAACTTTGAGTGACACAATACCTCCAGGGGTTTTTCCTGCTGCTGCTGATGAGAGAAGCTGGAGCTGAACTTTCCCCTGTATTGATCTGCAGGATCAGGTCAGAGTCATCTATCCCTGCTCACATACCCCAGGGACAAGTAGGAAACAGCACAGCTCTGTGACTAATTGGAAGATCTGGGCAGCTTGTCAGGGTGAGCCCACGGATGTGATTAGGGGAGGCACAAACAGGCCCCATTGTTGGGGGAAAGTGCTTTCCCTTCCCACCTGAGGCTTCCAGTCCAGGCCCAGGCCTGGCAGCCTTGACTCTGCCACTCAGCATTGCTTTCCGAAGTCCACTTCTAGACTCCAGTGCTTACTCTACTCCAGGGCAACCGTGTTTCCTATTCATCCTCCCTTTTCCCTCCCCCAGCATGTCCAGAGCTTTCAACCTCACCTCTGAAGTCTGCTTTGTTTGCCAAGAATAGAATCTCTTATTTCAAATCCAGTCCTTTATTTATTTATTTATTTTGGTAATGCAATTGTCATTTTGACCATGCAGAGCCTATGCTGTTCTGAATGCCTAAGACTCTCCCATGCAGCGGTGATAATGAAAAGCAATTTCCACTGCACTGTTTCTCACTCCAAGAGCAGCAGGGAATTCTGGAAATCAGGATAGGTTTTCATTTGATTCTGAGCCTAGACAATCAAGTTTTATGACCTTTCACCTTATGGTTTGATGCCAAAATATGGGAAGATCTGAAGAAACTGGAAATTACCCTATAGACAATAAAACAGGAAGCTAGGAAATGGACACATTTCCTGTTGGCACCTTCCATCTTGGCATCTTGGTAGTGGGAAGATCTGGGGGCATATCATACCGATAGCTTGATGAAATCCTGGTTTTCTCACCTACCGCCTCCACCAGGGCTTTACTAACATCTTCTAGGACAGAGAATTTAGTGCAGAAAAAAGAGGTCCTCAAATGGGGAGTAGTCATAGATGTTTGTGTTTGGCCAAGTCTCTTGAAGAGCACAAGGTTTATCTTAGGTCACTCACTGTCCTGCTGTTGATAGGGGTTTGTTGGGGATGCAGAAAAGAGAGCCTCTTTTCTGGTGGAATAAAGTCATGGATGGACTTCCAGCCCATTCTTCTTGTCTGGAGCCACTGCCTTCTTTCCAGCTACCTTATATGACCCTTTGTGCTGCTTTCATCTGCATCTAAGTAGCTGGGACTGTGGAAACTGAGGAAGCTGGTTTACAATGGCCTTAGGTGTTCTCTGCATCCAACCACTCATGAAGATGTGGAGTAAATTCACAAGGGAGTTGGGAATGAGGTAGGGCAGGTGCTGAGACCATTTCTGAGAATATTCTTGGTGGCAGGAACACAATCTAGGAAGCAATGGAACCAGAGACTTTTTCTTTCTCCCAGCATTCTGTGGCAGTCAGGCTCACAGCAGTATCTTAGTAGTTGGACAAGGAGAGGATGAGTAATGGAAGATGGAGAGGGCTTCTGCCTCTAGAACACCAGGTGTGTCCAAACCAGTGTGGGCACAGAACTGGTCATCTCTGCAGAGAAAGTTCCCAGGAGGTAATGAGAACTGATCAATCACACGGGTCTGAGAAGAAGACCTGTAGATGAGACTTTGGGAGTGTACTTGCTGAATCTCTTGGATCTGTCCTTGGGTGAAAGGCTTTATGTTGCGTGTTGTCATATGAATATGAAGTAGTTGCAGAATAATCACCACTTTTTGACAAACAGATGCTCTCACTGTTCTATCCTCCATGAGGCTCCCAGCAGCATAACTCTCCTGAAAGGGATTGCGAATATTCTCCTCTTGGTATTTCCCAAGAGCACCTTACCATTCCCACATACATTCTTCCAACACTTTCAAAGTAGTGGCTTCCAATTATTTTCTTCAAGGGGAGAAATCTTTCCTTACATCTACCTTGGTTGCAACATAATCAGTCCCTTAGGAATGGAAGCCCGGCAGGTATTCCTAGGTGCATGTCCTGAGGAAAGGAGGAAATGAGGCCACTTCTCTGATGTGGGATGAGGGTTATCTTGAGATCTGGGTGATAGGCTCATTTGCGGATGCAAAGCAAAGGCAGGCTTCTGTGAACTGTTCAACACCTGTTTCTCAGGGATCAACATCAACTACACCACTTAAGAGTCCCTTCTCCAGTTGGAACACCCATAAGTCAGTACTCATGCCCCATGTCAGTCCTTTTCCAGGACCCTCTGGCTAGGGAGGTTTCCATACCTGGATTACTTTCTTCCTTTTGCAGACTCTTAATTTTCTGCTTTAGTGATTGCATTATCCTAAAGTAGTCTGAATAAAGTACTCTACCTTGGAACAGAGGTAGAATGGGATGGGGTGGGATGCCAAGGAGAGGAAGAATAGCTCAGGATTCCAGGCTGCATGACTACCTCAGAAGCCAGCTCTCTCTCAGAGAGCTCTTAGAAGCTGTGGCCTCTGACAATTGGTAAGCCTTTCCATGCCACGGTCTACCCAACTGTGAATAGCCAGATAAAACACTTACCTTCATGAAGGGCAGAGGGGACTATGGGCCACTCTGCAAGTGTATAACCTGCCAAGCACTCAAGGGAGCTTGGGGAGGGCAGCAGAAAATTGTCAAAGCATCATTGCAACATGGGCCCCAGCCCCCATCCCAGACCCTCCCCATTCAATCCAGGCTAGAGAGTGTAGGGTGGGAAGGGAGGAAGGCAGGGACAGGCACATGCATGCATCGCATCACATTCCTTTCTTTTTCTTCTCCTCCCCACCCACCAAGGAGTTTCCACATTCACAGGTTATGGTGTATCTGTGCAGGGGCTGTGGGGGAGAGTGCAGGGGACAGTGGTAACTGGCTAATTGGAGCACAGGGTGGAAGGAAATCATTAGGGTAATGAGGAGTCGAGGCTGCAGCACCCAGGGCGTGGGAAAGGAGGACTTGTAATAAGCTAAGGCTAAGAAGGCAGAGATGATACCGAAACAGGGTGAGATCAAGACTACAGGAGGGAAAAGAGTAAAAAAATCTGCTGGTCAAAAGGAGGAGGAAGAGGGAAGAAAAGGAGGGAGAAAAAATATAGTTGCTTTTTGTTGTTGTTGCTTTTCAGTTTGTTTACATTTTTCTTTCTTTTTGTTGTTTTATTTTGTTTGTTTGTTTTTTAAAGAATCTCACACCTGATATTCCACGTTCCATCCATTTCGGTTCACCAAGGGCAATGAAGAAATTCTCTTGCCTTTCGTATTCCTCCTCATCTACTATTTTAACCCTTACGGTTTTCCTGTAGGGACAACAAGAGAGACAGTGTGTCGACGGGGTCGGTAGACTGGTTGGTTACTTGGAGCACAGCCTTTAAAATCACTCCCCATCACTCTTGGCACATGCAGCGCAGTCCCGCCATGGTGGCTTTTGGCAGGACTATGGTGGATTGTATTGTTCTTATACAAAAAATGGTCTTAGCTTTTCTGGTCTCCTTGGTCATAGTTGTCCTTATGGGTGAGAAGGAAAGGGAGCCAGGAGGCAAGGAAAAGTGGGCAAAGGAAGGGATCCAGGAGGACAGGAGGGGACTGGGAAGGAGGAAGGGGGGTGATGGTGGGGAGGAGTCATTTTAGATCCTGCAATGGTTAGTAGGAAGTGAGTTGGGCAGCACATTCCAATGGGTGTCACATGGTAACAGTGGCATTTCTTTGGGCAGTCGGTAAACTACTGGCCCATTGGGAATGACCAGGGCCCTTCTGTAATAGGAAACATGTCAACGGTACCTAGCTAGGGGCTTGGTTCCCTTACTTGTGTCTATACCCACTTCTTATGTGAGCCTCATAAAGAAAATTTTAAAAGGAAAGTATTTATGAGGAAGAGAAACGAGAGAGAGAGAGAGAGAAAGCAAGAAAGGCAGTATTCTATTCTCTTTCTCATTCTTTATCTCACAGGGCTTCAGTGGCGGGAACTAAAATAAATATGTATTAACCATGATATGATATAGGACTGCTTTAATATCCATAGGTGATGCACTTGTGGGAAAGTGTGAAGAAAATGATATATATCATCAAATTCTAAATCACCTTTGGACTTCTATCATATAGGAATGTCGTGTCCCAAGGCTGGCTTCCTTAAATGCTGATCATCAAGGGGCTGGGAGACAAGGTGATAGAGGTTTCTGTTCATTTCTGGGTATCTCAACAAAGTCTAGTGTCTTTTAAAAACAAGTCAGCCAGGGAAGCAAAGTTTCCTTGAAAATTGCTCCCCTCCAAAGCCTGATATGAGGCTGGCTGAGGCCCGTCGTCAGTGGAGAAGTTGCTATGTGGGCCTGGATCTCCTTGTGTCGCTGCTCCTGGTACTTCATGGAACCACAGTGGGCTCGGTGGGCCCCAATAGTGAGCCCTGATTGTTAGTTTTCTACTTTTTTTTTTTTTTGGCCTGGGGCCTAAATGCTCTCTAAAGGTCAAAGAGGTGCTAATGAACAATAGCTAAAACGTCTCATCAGAGCCTCTGATGTTCTTGTTCCATTCTGCAGACAGGCTCAGCTTCGCTGCCTATAAAGTGGTGGACTGATCTGAGGTGGTTTGTTGGGCACAGGACTTGCTGTGAATTTGTGTTGTGTGTGCATGTGTTTTACAAGTACATTTTTGTTCACCTTTCTGGCACTGTTTTGGACACCTTTTCACACCTTGCTCAGTGGACGAAAGACAAAACTTACTGATTGTCAAGAAGCATTTTCTGGGAATTTCTCTCTAGGCCCTAGACTGCGGGGCTATCTAAGAGATATGAGCCTGGCCTGTTTTTCCACTGCAAGGACTCTGCTGTGGAATGGGAATGGGGTGCTCTGTGACTATGGGCATGGCCCGGAGGGATATGATTGACAGCTCAGCCAGAGAAGGAACATTGCCCCAAATACTGGCAGCTCCCTGCTCCACAGTATGCGCTATCCATAGAGGATGTTCAGACTTCCCTATTGGAGGCCTGGAGTGTATGGGGTCATTTAGGTTGAAGGCAAAGGCCCCAACCACTCTGAGAAGTCTCGTGACTTTTTAAGGAAGCTTCCACTCAGGTCAGAATCCTCTCTCCCACTATTCTAACTTGTTGCCTCCACACCTAGATGCTCTTCATAGAAACAGGTGGGCACCTAGACCTGGAACTCAAATCTGTACTTTCAGCTCAATCAAGGTCAGGGAGAGAAACACACCTTAACAGCGGGTATATGGCAGATAAGATGGCTCCTAAGGCCTGCTTTAGGGAATAGGATGGACTTTAAATAGAACCCAAATCCAAATACATTGATGCTCAACGTCCAGGGACTGTAAGCTTAGCCCTGGGAATAGCTGCCCTGTAGATATCTATGCTGAGAGCCTGGCCAGTTTCCCAGGACTGCCCTCCTGCCTGGTGCTCTGCTACCTGGTCTTTTTCTTTCCTGTATACTAAGCCATTCAGGAGAAGCAAAGAGTCTCATATACGATACTCTCAGCACTCTGGCTGGCTCTTTCTCTCATTCTCTCTCTCTCCCTGTCTCTCTGTTTTCCCCATATCCATTTCCCCATCCCTTAATAAACAAAAATTACCATTGACTCTTGAGCATCCCTCTTACAGATACCATGTGACAGGCTGGCAGGTGTTAGGACAGAGCTGGGTGCAGAGAGAGGAGAGAAGAGAGGGAGACGTGAAAAGAGACGAAAAGAGAACAGGAAAGAAAACAAGAGAAAGTGAACCAGAGAGGTAGAAGAAGGGGAGGAGATGGAGACAAATGGATTGGAGAAAAGAAGAAAGAGAAGAGGAGAGAAGAATGTTAACGTTAGTGTGGAGGACAGGGTACTACACCTTTCTGAAAACTCATATCCACCATGCGGGGGCCCATCATCTCAATGAAGAAATTCTTGTTTTTCTCATACGCCTCATCATCAATTACCTTGATGTGAATTGTTTTGCTGTGGATGGAAAAATAAGTATCATAAGCAAGGTGCAGAGTGGGGGGTGGGGCAAGCCAGCCAGGAGAAGAAACAGGGTGAGAAGGAAGCAGTGAAAAGATCCAAAAAGGTCAAAGTTTGCCCCAACACCACAGGGCATGGAGGATAGTGGCTGCCCTGGGCCCCTTCTAGCCACAAGGGGCCCCTCCTAGGCTTCGTGTGGCTTCATGGCATGATCAGACTCGAAGACTGGAAGGAGCTCAGGCTTTACAGTCAAAGGTTCTGGGGTCTAATCCTGGATATGCCATGTAACCTTGGACAAATAATTTAACTGATACACAAATGGGTTAAATGATGCTCACACCACCCCAGGGCAGTTGTGAGAGCAATGAAATAATATACCTCTAACAGCTCAGGCTTTTTGGTCCTCCCATAATGTTTGTTTCCTTATCCCTCTTGCTTTTGGGACAAGGGAGAATTTTTTGACTATTGAAATAAAAAAAATAAGCCTTTCCCCTGATGTTGATCTGAAAGGTTTATTTCACAGAAAGGACAGAAAGTTGGGGTTGGGGGGACAAGGTGGCCTGTGGGAGTCTTGCCTGGAAACAGCAGAACTTCTCTCTTTCTCTGTGGCAGTGACTGTCACAGGGAAGCCAGGAGGGCCTTTTGGCTCAAGTCACACATTCTGGTAATGCACAGCAGGCATCAAAACTACCAACCCTCTCTCCAAAGGAGCTCTGTCACAGGGTTACACTGACCAGATCACATTAACTCCGGGGTGCTCTGAATTACGACTAGTTTATAAATCCTACAATGATCATGTGACCAGCACAATTATATTGTCTTTTATGTTAAAAGGTGTTATTTTTTAAATTTAAACATTGAAAAATATAAACCAATTTTAGTGACCCTGTTTTGCTTTCTTCATTTTTTTAAGTATTACTAGGAGCTTTAAAAATGGAGGTGGACCTGGGCCTCTCCCAGCCTTTGCCTAATGAAGGGGACATTTCCAGACCAGACCCCAGTCAAGATACTTAAGCCCTTCCCAGAGGGTGTGAGACGTTGCTGGAAGGGGGTGGGCATGGAGCCAAGTCTCGCCTCAGTGGTGAGAAAGAAGGCATCCACGCAGAAGCCCTGCTTGGCTGCCTGCAGGCGTGCACCCTGTCAGACTCAGGTGCCCCAGGGCCTTTGTTGAGGAGACTCAGACCTTCAGCTCTTCCCTTTATCATTTTATAAAGTAGGAATATCTGTAATATTCTCCCAAGTCACTGGTAGAGCTTTGGGTGTCTACAGAGCTTCCTCTGTCCACACTGTCGATTCTATAGAATCAGATGTGGGTCCATCGCTCCTGAAGTGAATGTAATAGTTACTGATACTCTCCGGCCCCTGCCACCCTACTGCTTCAAAAACAAAGACTCTAAACCCTCATCACCTGCCACAGCCACCCCAGTCACAGAAAAACCTGGCTAGCCACCACAGAAAGAGGGAGTGTTCAACCTCTGAAAGGCCACAACACGTCAGCCTGCCTTCCTCCAGAGTGGCAGCATGGGCATTGGAGACTGAGGACCTGGGATCAAAGCCAGCTCCCACCTCCCACTAGCTGGGTGACTTCGGGAAATTTGCTAAGCTCTCCTAGTCTCATTTGTAAAGTGGAATAATAATACCAACTTCATAGCGTTCTTAAATGAGATAATGTATGCCAAGCACTTGGCAGGGTGCATGTTCCCTAGTTTAATAGTGTTTAATAAATAGCAACCATTATTACTAAGAGTAATATGACCCCAGTTTGGTGGTTTGAGAGTAACATAAGGGATTCTTATAATCTCCAGTCATTAAGTCAGAAAATAAAGGGAAATCAGTAACTAGAACTGGTGACCCAAGAGGTGGTACCGGCTTGAAATAGAAGTCAGATCAAGAAAGGATTGGATGTAACAGGATGATAGACCCCAAATGGGTTATTAGAAGGGCTTGGGTGCTGGCCTGGTGGCATAGTGGTTAAGTTCACACGCTCTGCTTTGGCGGCCTGGGGTTCGTAGGTACGAATCCCAGGCGTGGACCTACACATCGCTTATCAAGCAATGCTGTGGCAGGCATCCCACATATAAAGTAGAGGAAGATGGGCACGGGTGTTAGCCCAGGACCGATCTTCCTCAGCAAAAAGAGGAGGATCGGTAACGGATGTTAGCTCAGGGCTAATCTTCCTCACACACACACAAAAAAGAAGCGCTTGGAATGTTTAGGGTGGTAGCATGCAGAGCAACTCTCACAGTCTCCCCAAATCTGGCCTTGTGTCTCTGCCAGTGACAAGCTCTGGGTTGGACAGACCACATGTCATAAAACACAGCGTGACTTGTGCTTGTTGTGATTTTCAGTGAACAGATAA